TTTTTTTTTTTTTTTGTGCTCAGGTTCCAGTTAGGGCCACCTCATTTCACCTAGACTGTTTCCCTATCATTGCAGGGAACAGAGAGTAGGGACTACAAGTTTTTAATCACTGCGCCCCGCACCTGGGCAGGCAGCTGACCAGCTCGGCTCGTTTAGCCGCTTTTTTTTTTTTTTTTTTTTTTTTTGGCTGTCCAGAGTTTATTGGAAACGCGAGGCGCAGAAGTCACATGGCCCCCCGCGGCGTTTTGAAGTTCATCCCCACCGTGGGCTGGGTGACCTGCAGGTTGGACAGGCTGCCGAAGTCCAGGAGCTTCAGCATGTCCTTGGTGTCGGGGTCCACCTCGATGATCTCCTGGTCCAGCGCCGAGACCTCAGTGCTGTGCTTTAACCCGCTGCGCCCCCAGGGAGGGCCCGGAAGGGTGTTTGTTTTTAGGATTAATTTTTTATTCATTTATTCATACAAGAACTAGGGTGCAGGCCAGAAGATTCACCAGAGACAGAGTGGGGAGCAGAACAGGCAGATCGGTTGAGGGGAGCAGCGGGCAGACAGGGGCGTCTGCTGCACCATGTGGGTCACTCCCTGGCCGGGCATCTTACTGGCTGCAGTGGCTGCAGACAGCGTGCAGCGCCGAGACTGACCGCCTGCGCCACCTGGGAGGCCCGGCAGCAGGTGTGTTTTTGATGGGATTTGCTGTAAGGAAAGAAGTGAGCGGAAATACAGTTTCTGCAGGATGGAGTCTGCATTCCAGATGAGGTGAGAGGGGAGGCCTCTGCTGAGTGAGGGGGAGACTGAGGCAGAGGGGAAGGGAGGAAGTAACAGCCCCCGTGGCTGACACTGAGAGCGGCAGGCACCTGCCAGCCGCAGTGAGTCCCCCGGCCTCCAGGCCCTATAGACCAGCTGTTAAAAAACAGGAAATAGTGCCTCTGAGGACAAAACAGCCTGAGCCCATGATGCTGAGTGAGATATAAAGAAAGTGAAAGAAAATTACTGGGTGGCGTCACAAAGCACAATATAGTGAACAATATAGTGGTTGCCAGCGGTGGGAGCAGCTGGCACTGGGCTAAGGTGGACCGTGAGTGAGGAGGTGAACGTGGACGCCGGAAGTACCGCAAGCCTGGTCATGTAAGCGACCGGCCACTCAGTCAGATCTCTTAGGCCCCAGGTGATGTCTGCAGACATACAACTGAGAATAGAACAGGTAGATAGTTGGGGACTCTTTGCAGAGTAGAGTAGGTAATAGGCCCTCCCTGG